TTACAGACACTCTCAGATACAAGACTCACCGTTACATTAACAGGCAGATCTATCGCTTCTCAGCCTTTTGGCTAAGATCAAGTGTAGTATCTGTTCTTATCAGTTGTTGGAGGGGAAAGGATGTTGCCACCCGATGGGAGAGCATTCTAGTACCCTCCGACGTAATTGGTGGGTGTCCGAGGACGGTTCGGTCCACTGCTGGTTGAGTCAGGCCCTGAGGTTACGGGTAGACCCCAGACAGTGGGAGGACCCCCGACGGCACTACCTCCTGGTATGAGCGGAGAAACACTTGGTCTGGCTGGAGGGTTGGGGGCGGCAGAAGCCTGTGGTGTTGTGCCCCCTGGGGGTGGCGTCCCAGGGGTGCTCAGAAAGTCACTTGGGTATGGGACCCCACATTGACTCACTGATCACTTGGTCACACACCACCTTGCATTTTCTGCACATCGCCTCTTGGACAGGCCTTATGGCTAGTCCGTGGCAATATTTTTGCACTCCGGCCCCTAAAGCCTGTCAGCGTGGCACACTGGCACTTTAGTATTACTTATTGCACTTAATGCACGTTAGCACGATTGGCTTTTTTAAAAAGCATTGACCCACAGATGCAGCGGGTGCAGGTTCCTTCGGGGCCTATTCCTGATGTGGGGAGGAGATTCTGTGCCCTTATATAGGGTTCTCCGTCTCCTCCCAACCCAGGAGGGGGTCTCTCTTCGGGAGAGCCCCCTGCCTAGTACTGTGAGGGACCTGTTTCGGCAGGTCCCCAAAGGATCTGGGTCCACCGACCTTCGGGTTGGTGGACCAACAGTCTCAACCCCTGTCAGGAGCCTTGCGCCCCGGGGGGTCGGGAATCTAGGTCCCTTCTTTATTGAAGGACCAAGCACCCTTGTGCACGTTTTTGTGTGCTGTGATTTCACGGTTAACTTTTTTTGTTCACAGGGGGAAGTTTGTTTTGATGCACGTCCACGGGCTTCGATTAAAAAAAAAAAAACAGGCAGATCTCCTAACAGGACACAACAGAAAGAATTGTATATATGATAACTGCAGACCAAAAAGTGGTTTCAGATGGGTTCATCAACACAAATGATGTACCCCTGCCTTAAAAAAGCTCTCAAGGCAGCAAAACACGATTGACATTACGAACCTAAAAGTATAGCTAAAGCCAAAATGCGTCAGCCCTGAAACACACACATGTAAAGCAAGTCAGCAAATGACAGCTGAGAGGCTTCTACTGCGTTACTGAATGCTGGAGATGGAAGACTTAGTCATTTGAGGGCTGTGTATATGGCTCTTAAATGACTGCACCCATTGTGCCCTGAATAATATGGGCATCAACACCTATGACACATACTGTATATCTGTCAAATTGGAAAAGCATGGATGGCTATCTGGTTAAGATTGGGCAGCTGTAGAAAAATAGACTCAGTTGAACCTGACTTGCACGTGCCCATTTTACCACCCAGAAGGCCCCATTATAATCCCTTCTACCTTCCAGTACTGTACTTGAATATTGCTTGCACTATGAATTCGGGGCAATCAGCAATAAGGTCTCTCATTTGACCTAAGTCAGCATCTTAGGAATCATCATAACAGCACCTGTACTGGTTATGTGATATGTAGTAAAGGGAATGTTAGCTGATACTATATATACTAATAAGCAGTTTGTCCTTCAGCTCAATCACAGATTCTAAAGACAAGTATCCGTCAATCTCTTCTTATGCAGAATCTATTATAGTTGTCATCAATGTCAGAGGTCTGCCCAAAGTTCAAAAAAGATCAACCAAGTTCAGCAGCAAAGCAGAACAAAAGGTGCTTTTTTTTTTTTTCCTTCGGTGTAACGTGTAAACTGCAGATTATTAAATGTTTTCAATACCCTCAAGGTGAAGGCACATAACCGGGAACATCAAACAAGTGACCTGGAATCCTGCCTTCACAGAGATGGGCTCCAGAAGAAGGGGGAGCAGGCCCTACAGGGCATACAGAAGCTTGGTTTGAAATGCTGAGCACAGAGATGAGAGACAAAATAGAAAAGCCAACAGAAACTTGGTAGCTGCAGTTGGCAAAAGGTGCCAAAAGATGAAATGGAACATGCCGAATACAATACACGAGGTGGAGGGTAATCATGTGATTAAAGAAAGGGGAATACAGTACAAGCTCCAGTGGAATTATATAGAAATAATAGATCTGATCTACCCGGAAAAACCAATTATAAACCTGTATGTTAAGTGAGTAATTAAGTTCCTGTGGAGATTTGCCAGGCTACTCTAGCTACCTTCCCCGTATCCAACGGCCAATCTTTATAACATTCAGAAAGTCTCATTTCGTAGACGTTTGATAGCTGTTTTTGGACTGAATCACCCACTAGCTTCTCATATCTCTCACCTACTTCAGTAACATAATGGCCTCATCAAAGTACCTAGCTCTGCCTTCAGCTGCAGCCATTGTAAAGCCAACCATAAAGTCTCTCAACCTGCTGCATTCTCTGTAATGGAACTCACCCCAACAGGTAGATCAAGTCCTCATTCACAGTTACAATGTAGGTTCGTTTAGCGATTCCTGCGTCAGGAACTTTTTATTTCCTGCAGCAGGAATCCCATGTGTGCCAATAACAAGCTGGCAAGTTAATGATCGTGTGACATCGGCCGCGTTTGAAAGTGGCAGAATATGGACACGCCGCATGTAATTGTATGCATTATTATTGCATGCGGTTAGGAATCAATCACTATACCTTGACACATCGATAGTGATTTTATAGGGGCTAAGACTGTGTAAAATGTATGCCTGGGGGAAAAAAGTATCAGTATATCTCTGAAATACATGGGCAAGCTGGCTATACACTGCTCAGATTTGAGCCATAGATGACCCTGTCAACCATATTCAAATATAATCTTCACCGAATTTTGTCAGCAGAACAGCGCTTGTATCCAATCCATATATTCAGCAGACAATAGTTTAGGTATTCAGAATACAATAGCCCAGCGGCAGAGATTGCCCTATCTATGCTGCTTAGAGTCTAAGGGGAAATCAAGCCGTTTTTTTTCTCGTTCAGCCTGCAGGTCTGAAGGCTGGTCCACACCTAGGTGATTTATCGCGCGGATTTACCCCCCACGATTTCGCACAAAACAGAGATTTGCATGCAGGTCAATTTATCCCGTTCACCCCTTTGCTTTGTGTTTTGCGCAGCTGAAATCGCATAATGCGCAAAAAGGTGCAGGAGCAATTTTCGGGCGGCTGTCGCGAGGTTTGGGTCTCAAAGACATCTCTATGCATTGAAAACTGTGCGGGTTTTCAAAGCAAAATCGCGCAAAGATGCGCGTCAACAGCTCACCACCGCAATCGCATAAGTGTTAACCGAGCCTGAATGAGAAAAAATGTCAGGTTCATGACCAATTTAAAAATGCCGTAAGTCCAAAATAAACACCTGTTCATCCTGCTAGAAATTCAGTGAGCTCCTAGTTCCCTTTAGTGAGCCGACAACAGGCCCTATGCTGCACTGAAATCCCATGCAGTAGTGTTGACAGCCCTGCTGGACTACAGAACACCTGCCATGCTCCTCCTAAGTATTAGGAACTTACAGAATTTCTGACACAAGCTACAGGTTTTTATGTGTACATGAATTATTTTAAAGAGAAAAAAACATGGGGAAAAATGTGCATATATTGTTGAGATATGCTAAATATTTTTTGCTTGGGTCTAGTCTAGATCAGGAGCAGATATTTCTCTGTTGGAGTCTCTGAGAAATATAAAAAGCATCCAACCAAACTAGAAATATCAGTTTTGGAATAAATATACATCTACATTTTAATTTTGTTGTGCATTCTTATTACAATCTTTATAGTGTTTTATACGTAAAATAAAAGTGAGAATCCACTCCACTATAGTTATGACCAGTTAACCGTCCATGAAATAAAAGATACATTTTGGATTGATTGACCTTTTATAGATTTCTTTTCTTTTTCTGGCAACCCTAAAAGGTAATTTTCACTATCAGTGAGAAAATGAGAATCCATTTTACCTTAGCTATAGTTGGATTGGTGGGGACCACCATACAGCACTTGCCCATCCTCTGAAGTTTCACAGGATTCTAATTGGCAGATGAACTGCTTCTTTAAACCAAGAGGGTCTACGCGGATTTTTTTTTTCCCAGTGTTGATTCTACGTGAGCTGAACCAAGTGAAGAAAGTGTTTGTCTAGACGACTCTGAAGACACCGGAGGGTCTGTAATGCCCAGCTTACCAATGAACACCTTTTAAGGCTTTTCTGACCAGCTGGTGTCTATTGGCATAGCTAAATCATGGCTTGGAAGCTCACTAAGCTGTCCTTGCCACATTCCAGAAGAGACAGCAGATGGAAGATGATCACAGCACACCCTTAGTTTTATAAGTACTTGAACAGTTTGCATTCAAAAGAACATGGGACACACCTTATACACTAAATAGCTTTCATTTGTATCATCTCAAATGACCCTGAAACTGCAGCTGCACAAAAATAGACCAGTGGGGTCCATGGTTCCAGCACTGACCTATTAGAGCCCACTAAAAAAAATGTCTTCACACACTGGAGCATGAAACTAAGATAGCACCGAAAATGATCAGGTCATCAAAGTCTTTAGACCCATCCAAAAGCAGTGAAAAAAATTGTGGTTAATATGGTTGCAATTAAATATGTAACACTTAAATGTTATTTGAGTAGACGTTTATAATTTTCAGGACTGGCATGTTGGTAATTTCTTCTTTTTTTAGGGATATTTAAAGCGACTCCCTGAACAATTTTACTCGCGACCTGGAGTTGCTCCTTAGTACACTAACCCATAAGTATTCCTCCAATAATTATTTTGTTGCAGGAATCATTATAGAAAAAAATGAACACACAATTAATCATTATAGAGAAATAAATGTACAATTATCATGACATGATTAATGAATGTTCAATAAACTAATTTCATCTGTCAATGTTTCTTTTGGAAGAAGATTAATACATTTATCAATAGAAGATGAAATACTCACTAGTCAGCGAAAAATCTGGCAACGTCACTGTGCTCAGTGTCATCTTTGTGCTCTATAAGCTGGGTGAGGGCATCTTCCATGTAAGTCGGGACATGCCTCTGTGCTGTAGAAAAGAAAAGATTATATTACTAACCTTCTGCCCTATTAGAACCTTAGGCTACTTGCACACATGCTTATATCAATGGTGGGAAGCATAGATCAGGGAAGACTTGCCTCTGCCAGCTCAGTAAGAGCCTAAATAAAAAAGTATTAAACACATACAACGTGTGTCAGCGTGATATGAACTCTCACAGACCAATATAATGGGCTGATATTTCCAGTATAGGATATCTCATGCTGCCAGGATAGAGAAGGTCAAAAGATAATGAAAGGCACAGGGTTCGAAAACAAGGCTGGAGAACTACATGGCCAAAGGTGTATAGACAACCCACCAAATTAATAAGCTCACCTGTTTCCAGTAAAGTTAACGCTTAAGTACACATTTTAGATGTTGTAAGAACAGTTTGGGAAAGGCCATTTTCAGTTCTAGCATGACTGTGCCCCTGAGCAAAAAGACAACTCTATAAAGACATGGTTTGAAGAGCTTGGTGTGGGGGAACTCGAGTGACCTGCACAGAGCCCTGACCTAAACCCTACTGAACACCTTTGGAATGTGAGCCAGAACTTCACATCCCAAATCAGTACCTGACCTCACGAATGCCCTTTTGGTTGAATTGGCACACATCTGAACACTACAGAGTCTTCTCAAAACAGTGAAGGCAGTTTTAGCTGCAAAAAGAGGGGGAGGACTCAATTTTAATGATAATGGTTTTGGAATGCAAAGTCCAACAACCCCATACAGATGTGAGGTTCAGGTTTCCACAAACATTTTGACATATGGAGGTTGATTTACTACAGACAAATAGGCTGTTCACTTTACAAGGAAATTTCCCTTTAGCTTAGTGAATAAGACGAAGCTCTGTTGACTTCCATCCTCCAAGCAAGCAAAAATAGTATTCTGACTCCGATCGTTGTGATAGCGAAATATATCCCTTGCTGAGACCTCTATGCCTGGCCTGTATAAGCAGATATACTCACTGCGGACAATCCTCGTCAGATAGCTGAACTCGTCAATACCGATTCATTCAAAAGAGGTGTTTATTCTTTACATCAGGATTACAGCAGATGATAGGAACAGCAGTTGAATGGTTATAGTATTGTGCGGTCAGAAAATGATACCTTTCCTCCGTACTCCGTGCAGATTACCTGTGTGTCCTTGTTACATGTGGCTTTCAACTGTGCCCATGACACAGGAAGTACTGCACACAGGAAGAAGGGTGGGGCTACACTAGGGGGAAATACATCGTCACATGAGGAATAATTACAGAAAACATGTTTGTTACAACAAAAGGCCACTAGATGGCAGCATAGGATAACACATGGATTTAGCTATGAGAAAATAGTTAGGCAAATCACACTATATAAATTCTAACCTATATAACAATGCTAATATTAACTGAGGCTATGCATCTCATATTCTATGCCCCTGTTGGGGCGGCACAAATAGTGTTTCTTTTTGTTTTTCTAGCACATGATTGGGTATTCTTTACAAGGTGAATTTTCACCGCATTCAATAAGCTAAAGGAAAATTATCTTGCAGAGTATTTGCCTTTAGTAAATCAACCCCATAGTGTAATATCAAATGGCTCCCTGGTCTGCAGTGACACAAGGACTCCAAAAAAAGGTTTCTTTGCAAACTCTTATAGAGCAAGTTATAGTGATCTCCCTTTCATCTTTAATTATGTTACTGTAAAGGTCTGGTACTCGGCACTAAACTCTTGCTCTCCAGCATGCTTTTGCTCTGGTAGTGTTGGGTAATCCCTGTGGTCTTCTTTGGTACCAGCACCTTCAATCTAAAAGCAGCAAAGCAGGGTTCAGGGACCACAAGTGACCCGAACTCCAAGAGAACAAGACCTTTCCAGCAAAAAAGGATGCAGGAGAGGAGAGCTAAAACTTGGGACCGGCTACTTCAATCTAAAAGCAGCAAAGCAGGGTTCAGGTACCACAAGTGACCCGGACAGGAAGAGAATATAGAGAACCAGACATTTACAGCAAAAAAAAAAGATGAAGAAGAGCTAAAACTACCTTCAGCCATACACCTGCCAAACATCTGGCATAGAAACATTACCTGGAGATCCCATTTCAAAAACTAGTTATCTGATTACAGCTTTATTTACTTGCATGGTTCTCATATTTTCAATGATCAAACAATTTCAGCTCTGCAAGAGGGCAATAACAATGCTTCAGGCAGTTGGAGGAGCTCATTATCACACAGCGAGATATTTGAACTTCTTCTATACCATTGTTGGGAAATCTCACTGCGATTGGGTTCAAATACTTCATTCATCTGCCTGGAAACGCAAAACATTCAACTGCTACCTGCCATTTCAACGTTTGTCGCACGTTCTTTGGGGCGTTTTGGTCTCGCGTTTCCATTGGGATACAGCCAAGTAGCCCTCAGAAACCCGCGTTTGTTTTACCGTGAATCGCGGTACAAACGCGCATATTCAATACGCCTAGGTGTGAACCCAGCCTACATGTACCTTTTCAGGCGTAGGCCGCTTTGTAGCGCGTTCAGACGGGCTGAAATACGGAAAGGTGTGAACCATACCCATAGAAAACAATGGGATTTTCAAGTTTGTACGTTTTGTAGAGCGTTCATAGAGCGTTGAACGCGCAACAAAACGTAAAAGGTGTGAACAGGGCCTAACTGTCCTAACTAACTTGGCACTTTTTTATTGCTTGTAAAAGAAATTCTGAAATTCTCCTTTCTCAATTTTGGCTGCGATTATCCCATTAGATATTGAGTTGCAATGACCTGAACACCGTTACTTTAATCATAGGCACCCGGCATAATATACAGGCTCTGGCACCTGTTATTTTTGTCATATTATAGCATCCATTTGTTTATATTAGAGTTCCTGCTCCCCCTCCAGTCCGTGGCCTTCAATGCCTCACAGCACCCAGTACCACCTGCACTGCAAACCAATGGCAAGTATCAGTTACTAAGCTAAGTGACCTACATATTTTCCTGACCTCCAAGCCCTTCCTCTGCTGTTGTAAATTACAGAGGTGAGCCAATTCCCTTACAGCAAGCCGAGCGAGTAAATCAACTGGAGACGCTTAAGAGGAAGAAATAATATTTAGATTTTCCTTTCTGAGCTCTGTGTTCTTTAAGGCTTCAATAATGCACCGTTAATGGTATTAACCCCGCACCTGAAATCAATATAAAAGGGCCGTTTAATCTAAAAATAAGAAAAAAACTTACATATTTTGTCTTAGATTAATTTCTTTTCTGCATTTTTTTTGATTACAAAGTATTTTTAGGTACTGATTATGCACAAATGTAGACTTTTCCTTCTATTGATTAAAGTAAGTGATCAAATTAATACAGAATTCAGGAGCCAGTCTGTCTAATCCAGGAGCCAGCAGGATTTTGTTTTAGAAGCCAGCTCCATTAACATCAACTAGAGCAGTGTTTCTCAACCTGTGTAACCTGGGGACCCACATTTGTCCTTGGTCATTTAGTCGCGACACAAGTTGCACAGCAATGGAACGCACAGCATTGCGGTATTGCACTTTCCGGTGCGGGTGATCGAACTGTGGGTGGGAGGTGTGTTTGGGGTGCCATTCAAAAGATCCACCCAGTCTCCATACATTACGAGAACTGGAGTTGATCCTCAGCCTGTGGGGTGCTGTACTGTGACAGAGCTCCATCCATATGTGCATTGCTTGTACAACTCCCTTTGCGTGCCCTGTAGGTAGCCAGAATGTGACATCACTCTGGTCCAGGACATGTGAGGGAGCTGTAAGTATAGATGTAGCTCCCTCACGGCCATAGCCCCAGCCCATCCCACCTCAAGCTGACACTCGGCGCCGGGCAGCATATTTTGAATGGCTGTTTGGCGCAAGAACTGACAGTGCTGTGCTAGGGGGAGGCTGATGAGCTTTTCGCCTTGAAAAGTGGAAGTCACGCCGCGACCCACTGAACATGGGGTCGCGACCCACTTTTGGGTCACGACCCACCAGTTGAGAACCAAGGATCTAGAGGAAACTTCCAATGTTAGGAGCCAGCTGTGATTTTTTTTTTTTTTAAGGCTAACTGGCTCATGGGATTATTTTAAGGAGCCAGTTCCATTGACAACAACAAGAGAAAACCTCAAAAGTTGGGCGCCAGCTGTCATTTTCAAGGAGCATTGGCTACCTGGCTCCTAAGATCCAGCCCTGGGTTAAGGGTTATCTAAACCCAAGACAAAACAAAAATGTAATACATAGGGATTCACTGATACCGGTATTTGGGTATTGAGTACGAGTACCGATATATATTTTTCACTACTCTCCGATGCTGAATACCGATGCCGGAAGTCCCATTAAGGAAACCAGGCAACGTGTAATGACTCGCTACCTGGCTTCCTGATTAGCATAGAAGGTGTCCCCATGCTTCCCGTTACTAGGGGGCTTCATGCTCCGTGGTCAGCTGCCTTGCCATAAGGTGACAAGGGAGCATGAAGCCAGATTCCCGGCCAACGTGTCTTTACACGGCGCACTGCTTCCTGATTTGTTAGCTTCCAGACCAATCAGGAAGCTGGGCAGCAAGTCATTACACGCTGCCTGGCTTCTTGATTGGCCTGGAAGATGGCTCCATGCTCCCTCGTAGCATGGAGCCGCCTTCCTGACCAAACAGGAAGCTGGGCAGCGTGCAATGACTCGCTGCCCAGCTTCCTGATACCAGAAGTATCGGGCTAGGCATCGGAGCATTTGGGCGAGTTTACGAGTAAACGAATGAAAATGCTTCAGGTTGCGTTTTGCTAAATCACAACACACAGATGGAAATTGTAAAATCGAATTAAATAGGATTGACTTTTCCTTGATGTTTTTGTGTGGTTTGAGCAAACCCCAACACCAGAAGTGGGCCCTTATGTGGTCCAATGTGTTTCTCCAATACAATACGCACTGTCGCTGAAAATGAGTCAGCCTTGTACAAAGGATGAGAACATCAGAATAGAACATAAATACAATAGAAATCTATTTATAAAAAAAATTGTAATATATTAGGTTTCCTAG